GGTGTGTGTGGTGTGGGCGTGCGTTTGTTTCGGATGATGTTGATCTTTGCTTTATATATAAAGCGGGGCGAAAGTCTTTTTCGGTAAGTACACAAAATTCATACGTCTCGAATGATTCAAAACCAAACGAAGTTAGAAGTCCATCGTCATGGAGCTTCTTTATGCGCTTCATACTTATATGACCAAGTAGACAATGCCAAAAATAAGTTGCATTCAGATTGTTAGGCTTAAGCCTCTTGACATTTATAATATAGACATATTCACCTTCAAGATCTAAAATGAATAGCCTGTTCACAATGAGTGTGAAGCCATAAAACATTATTCAAATATATAGAACAACCATTATCTTTAATATCGAATTCAAATATATAGAACATAAAAAAAACTTGGTCTATTGCAAAGAGCGGTCTTATGCCAGGCCCATCGCCGTCGCATCTCCTCCCTATCGACCTAAAGTAAACAAGACGAAGAAAAGAAATATTTTCAAATCCAGTGAGATGAAATAATTAGGAAAAAAATCCACAAAACAAGTTAGAAAAATTTCCTGCAAAAAAAGTTACTAGAAAATTGATGTGGGCCTCATCTTAATACCCCCAAGAAGTACATTGCTGATGCTCGAATAAGTTGATCCGAATCTTCGTGACGCATGTTTAGCCTCTTACCAACAAACATACGCATGGAATATGATGTTTGGCAACCAATTAAGCAAGTGCTCAGGGACTAAGGATGACAGCTGCGTCATGTTTCATCCACCAGAAATAAACAATAGTGAACACTATTCCAGTCAGGTGTTAACTTTACCTCTGCTTGTTGTTGCAGCGGCTATGACAGCTAGCTTCTCTGTCATCTGTTAGTTTTCTCTTAGGAAAGGCTACAGCTTTGTAATCGTTCCAGACTTGCTCCATCTACATTATTGAAAACAGCTCAATGCTGCTCTTTCGTAAAAAAAAAAAACACTGACCTACTGAAGGATTTGCTGATTTTCAATGGGCTCACTTCAAGTTTAACACAATGCACAATAGCCAGCTCCTCCCTTGCAGGTGGCAGAAAGATGGTTGTTGAGGCAGCTGCTGGTGGCAATCCTAACCTCGGTCAAAGAATCTTAACACCCGCATCATCAACTCATGGGGAATAGTCAATACTCGAGACAGCTGCCTAACCCCCGCATGCATAATCCGGCTGTCTGAGCTTGAAATCGCTTAGTTTACGTGACCCCAAGACAAGAGATCCACATTCTATATCATCCACTTCTGGTCACAACAAGGGCGGGTATGAGATAAACCATCCCAAGTGGCGCTCCACGACGCGGAGTCGTGCCTCACGCGTTGTCTTACGTTGTTTCAGTCTTTCATCCCACCGAAGTGACAGCGCGCTTTCCCTGCAAAGAAAAAGCTGCCATGTAAGAGTACTTTATTTTCGGCTTGTTTTGGTTGTTGGAAACAAAGCCATGCATGGAATTTGAATACATCATCTCATATGACTGTCAACACACCCAGTGGTAGCCATAATTAATTTCGATACTTGCACAGCCTGTGCGCCTAGTTAATTGCGCAAAGCAACAAATATACTTTCAAATGACGGAGGAACCGAGGAAGCATGGCTGCATGTTCATGGAGACTAGTTGCAGACTTCTCTTCTTTTGTCATGGTTGTCGTCTAATGGAGGCCCAAGAATATAGAAACGTGGAAGCCACTCGGGTTTCGTACAGTGTGCAAGTGTCCAACCATGCTATTTGACGATTTAGCTTCGGCCTTTCACATATGCATTGCACACCTTTGTTGCAGTTGAGAACTGAAATATGTTCAGGATTCAAACTGGAGATGCCTTGAACTTTGGTGTTGAGGTGCATCCATATTCCTGGGGGACTAACGATGTTTTGAGAAATATGACACGTATCCTAGTTCCCGTACAGTTGTTCAAGATACGTGACTAGCATTCTAGTTTTATCCAGTAAACCGCCTACGAAACCACAAGAAAGTTACAGTGCAATTTTTCGAATCAGGAATGGGTGTATTTTATTTGGATTCAGCATCTGGTGGCTGCACCAATAGTCTCTTTCGTGTTGTGTCGCTATCTTCCCTGTCCTGGAAGGAATTTTCGCCTCGCCCCATCACGGATTCACGGCGACATATCAAGCAGTTCTATCAATACTAATGGTGAAGTGGGGACACATGATAATATCACCAATTCACCATGAGCGCCCCCCTTGGGCCTCCCCATTTGTTAACCACGATGAGGTTACGCATGTGGTGGCAACCAGCTTCGGCTCCAGCTACCAGCAGTTTTTTACCTTAATTAATATGAATATATAAATACAGCAGGAAGTGGTCTCCTCGAGAAGATGAACGATATCCGTCGGATGCTGATCTAAGGGTGCTATCTATAATTGCAATACCGTCTTTCTTTCACGTTGCTCCTTTATGTTATGATATGGTGACGTTATGCCAGGTTGTCATGCTGATGAGCAAGCTTGCCTGGTGAGCTATATATTGAAGACAGATTCAGTCGAGCTGAGGCACCAATTGCTACGCAAATGGCGGCCGAGCAAAAACGCCACAACAGTTCACATGATATCACAGTAGACGGCCCCGCGCCGGATGCTTGCCCTCCTGCCACCAATCCAACAAATGGAAACAGCCAGCCCCATGATACTCAGCCTCCTGCAAATGGAAGCAGCCAACCCGAGGAGGTGATCGAGAGCTACGAGCTCATGCTCGACCTGAGCAAGTACATCCTGCTGCTGGCAACGCTGGTGGCCACGGTGACATATGCCGCGGGGTTCAACCCACCGGGGGGCGTCTGGCAGGAGACTGTCGACGCCACGGGCCAATTCGCAGGCGACTCCATTATCCGGACCACCAGCTACCACCGGTACCTGGTGTTCTACTACTGCAACGCCACCGCATTTGCCTCGTCACTCGTGATCATCCTCGCCATCCTCTTCCTCACCCTCATGGAAGAGAAAAAGAAGAACCGCGTCACCCTCCTGCCACTGCGGGCGGTCATGGTTGTGGACCTGCTAAGCGTCATGGGAGCCTATGCTGCCGGGACATGCCGCAACAAGCCCACGACCATCTTCTCCTCGGTGCTGGTGGTTGCCGTCGTTGCCTACCTTGCTCTTCAGATGGTGCTAGCCTCGTTGCCAGAAGACAAGCACAGCTACATCGACGCAGTGCATGAGAAACGGCTACGAAAGGTCCTGATGCTGCTCGCGACGTTCGCGGTGAGCGTGACATACGTTGCCGGGATGAGCACGCCAGGTGGCTTCTGGGACAACAGTGAGAACGGCCACAGCCCTGGCGACGCGATCCTCAAGGACAGCCACGGCAAGCGCCTGACGGTGTTCTTGTTCTTCAATGCCCTGGCGTTCGTGGCGTCCTTGCTCATCATTGTGGTGCTTCTGGACAGAAAACCTCGTGTGACTGAGGCATACTGGTTCATCGCCGTCGCGCTGATCAGCCTCATCGTCTCATACACCGCAGGCAGCTGCAGGGAGACCGACACCAACTTCTATGTGGGCAGCCTGGTTATTGCCGTCCTGGCATTCATGGCATTGCTCCAAGTTGCAGTTATTCAAGGTACCATAAAAGCTGCAAGCGATACCAGGTTCTGGACCAAAATCAAAAGCTTCCATCGTTCGGTGTCAGGGAGCTTGTCAAGAGCAATAACAAGAGCACCAGGTCTGGAGACTAATGACAGCAGGTACTACGGGAGCACATCCCTTTTCTTATTCTTCTTCCTCCTCTGCAAATCATTGGCTTTAACTGACCTCTTTTGCTCCCCAACTACATAGGGTCGCAGCGGAGCATGCTCGTTCCCTTGTACTGTTACTAGCCACTCTTGCCGCAACCATCACTTACCAAGCAGGGCTGGATCCTCCCGGTGGCTTCTGGCCGGGTAATCGGGACGGCCACATGGCTGGTGACCCGATCCTCCTCACCGTGAACGCTAAGAGGTACAAGGCCTTCTTCTACTGCAACTCTGTCGCCTTCGTAGCCTCCTTGGTGGCCATCATCCTGGTCCAAAGCAAGGTTATGCTCCAGACACACGTGCTCGAGGCAGCCATGATACTGGACTTGTTTGGCCTCATCGGAGCATATGCTGCGGGAAGCTCTCGGGACTTGACCACCTCCATTTATGCCATGGCCTTGGCTGGCGCCGTCCTGGTCTATGTAGTGATCCATGTTGTCTTCTTCACACTGAACCATGCCACCAACCCCACCAAAGAAGAAATTAAGTCCGTGGAGAAGAGGCGCAAGCGGTTGCTCCTTTTCGCAGTCTTGGCCGCGACCATCACTTATCAAGCTGGGTTGACCCCTCCTGGCGGTTTCCGGCTCCAAGATGATAGCAGGCACCACGCTGGGGATCCGGTCCTCCTATACAACTTTCCCCGGCGTTACACAGCCTTCTTCTACTGCAACACGGTGAGCTTCATGCTGTCCATCGCACTGATCATACTGCTCGTGAACCCACATCTATACAGGCCTGCGATACGAAGCTATGCACTCGCTGTTTGCACAGGGGCGGGCATGTTTGGTCTGATGGGAGCATATGCTGCCGGAAGCACGCAACATCTGAAAACATCCATCTACATTTTCGTCTTGGTGGTTGTGGTCCTCGTCGTTATAGCTTTACTGCTCCTGGTATTCTTGTTGAAGGAAAGGAACAACATACCTGAAGACACGGCCGGTGAACTGGAGCCCATTGAGGTAAGCAGTTGTACACCAGGAAAGGAAAAACATGTCATGCGCAAATATCTGATGCTGCTAGGAATCTTGGTGGCAAGCGTCACCTACCAGGCCGGCCTAGATCCACCAGGCGGAGCTTGGCAGCACAGTGGGAATGGATACGACGCGGGCAACCCAATCATGCATGACAACCAGAGGCACCGTTACCTCGCCTTCTTCTACAGCAACTCCACGTCCTTCGTGTCGTCCATTGTTGTTATCATCATTTTGCTACTGGAGTGGAAGGACGAGAAGAAATGGTCGCTCAAGGTCATGAACACGACGATTGTGCTGGATTTGCTCGCTCTCCTAGTGGCCTACGCAGCAGGCTCCAGCAGGGGGTGGAAGACGTCTATGTATGTCGTTGCACTAGTGACCGCCGTGCTGGTATATGTTGCAATCCATATAGTGCTGGCAATCTCATGTTGTCATAGCCCGCAGGAAGAGGAGAGCAGTGTGGATCCTGCATAGGTAACTCCAGCGGCACCTGTTTCTGTTTGATTATTAGTGTGCACTGCAGTTCTGTTCATATGAAACAGTGGCAGTAAAGCCTGCGATTCTTATACGCCTATCAAAATGTCAAGGCAGGTGATCATTTTGTATACCCATTTCCCCTAGTATCCACTTTATTGCTATTATGTAATACAAATAGAAAGTGGGAAACTTGGATTTTTTGTGGTGTGTGGCTCCTTTTTTATTTTTAGTTTATTTCTATTCTTAGTTTCTGGCGGTGGTTTGTCCAGTCTCTGCTATGACCTATTCCTCCCCCTTTCTAGAATTGTAGTGTACTTGATGTTTGATGTAACTGGATTATTTTAAATCCCTCAAACTAGCTAGTACTGTATATTTGACCATAATGGCAAAAACTGTAAATTTTTGCCTCAGGCATATTTGGACTTGAGTTGGGTGTAAACCTGAATCCAGTGTATGTGGCAAGTTTGCAGGACTATGGAGCTATGTATGGTTCTACATTTACATGATTCGGAGATTAAGAGCAGTCTTCATTATTGTTAACACACAAAAAAGGATCACTTGCGGACACATCGGGCATCTCTGCAGAAGAATGGGCTCATAGATACAACCTCGAAGATTCTCTTATGGACATCTACTCTAAAGAAGAGGAGTATTGGCGCCAGCGGGGCTCTATGAACTGGGTGCTGTTTGGTGATGCCAACACTGCCTACTTCCAGGCCATTGCTAATGGCCGTCGTAGACGCTGCTCCATTCCCCTTTTATGGGAAGGAGGCCGGCTATTTCAGGACCCCCCAGCGATTCGGGCTCATGTGGACGGATTCTGTAAGTCGCTATTTGCCGGGCGAACTAGGGGTGGTGTCTCCCTAGCGGACCACATATGGACACCTAGCCAACAAATCTCCCCAGCGGAGAATGCTGCTCTCCTCGCTCCCTTTGATGCCACTGAGGTCGAGACTTTTGTGAAAGCAATGAACCCGGCCTCGGCCCCAGGTCCCGATGGTCTGCCTGTCCGCTTCTTTCAGGCATTCTGGCCGATGGTCAAGGATGTCATCCTCGACCTGTTCCTTGAGCTCTCTCGAGGAACATTGGACGTCTCCTGCCTCAATTACGGGGTCATTTCCTTGATCCCGAAGGTCCCGGGTGCGGCAGACATTCGGCAGTTCCGGCCTATCACAGTTCTCAACGTGCTTTTTCAGATTCTGGCCAAGGGGTACGCCACTAGGGCGGCCCTGATCGCCCCCCGGATCCACCATCTGAACCAGACGGCCTTCATCAAAGGCCGATATATTTTGGATGGGATCCTCGTTCTCCACAAGGTCATTCATGAAGTCAAGAGCGAACACCTCCGCGCAGTGTTCCTCAAGATTGACATCCATAAGGCGTACGACACTGTACATTGGTCCTTCCTTCGAGAGGTGATGATGAAGTGTGGTTTCGACCCACACTGGATTGCTCGGGTTATGCAGCTTGTTACGAGTGGGCGCACGGCTGTCAACATAAATGGGGAGGTCGGCTCGTACTTCCTGACTGGCCAGGGAGTACGGCAAGGGGACCCTCTCTCCCCATTTCTCTTCAATCTTGTGGTCGATGCTCTGGCAACGGTCCTAGACTTGGCCAAACACGCTGGCCATATTAGGGGGATTTGCCCCCATCTCGTGGGCGACGGAGGTTTGACCCACCTCCAGTATGCGGACAACACCAACATGATGGTGGAAGGCTCGGACGAGGATATTCGGCACCTCAAGTTTCTCCTTCTCTGCTTTCAGGAGATGTTGGGTCTCACGATTAACTTTGCCAAAAGTGAGGTGATGGTTCTTGGGTACTCAGAGGAGGAGGCTGTGACGACCCGAGACCGACGCTTCAGAAGCCTTCCAGTTATTTCGTTGTTGTTGTTATTTAATTGTCTTCCTTGACGATTCTTAGTCCAACCACACAGTTGACCTCGTCTGCCTAACCCCTCTTTGCACTGTGCATTGACCCCTCGCGTGCGAGTCCGAAAGTTGTCCCGAACCCGACCCGGGCAATCGTGACCGATGGATCCGGATCATCCCCAAACATCCCTAAAATATCTTCGGTTCTTTGTTAGACTCTCCTAGCCTATTTTTTCGAGCCGTCCGATTACGATCGGAGGGTCCAGCTAACCCCTCCCCCTAATCCAACCTACCTATATAACAGCCTAACCCTAGAACCTAGGCTGTCCCATCCATCCCCTCACCCGCCGCCGCCACTCTTCTCACCATCTACATTGGGATCTCCTCCGTCTTCACCCGCAGCCGCTAGCTTCCCTCCTCGATTTCCATGCCGAACCAATCCATCGATCCACCCCAACCTGATGGCTCCGACCACCTCCCTGGATTTCCGCCGCCACCCAACCCGCAGCCGCAACCATCCATCCATCTAGTGACGCGCCTCCACACTTCGTGCCCGAGGAGCCCCATCTCGAGCTCCTCCTCCCTGCCTTCGCCCAAGCACCTCCTGCTTCTCCTCGTCGCCCTCAACCCCGCCTCGACTCGCCGGAGAGCCGTCGGCCTTGGAGACCACCCCGTGCTTCTTCCTTACCTCCCTCCGAATCTCGCTCTCTCCATCGCCCCACCTCTCTACCTCTGTCTCCAGGGACACGAACGAGCAAGCCGCCATGGACGCCGACGCCTGGAGCTCCAAGTCCACCGTTCGCCCTGGATACGACCAGAGCTCGCCTTCCGACCCCGGATCTGCGCATCCTTGCCGTTTCCCGTGCCTCTGCCTGCGTTGTTGCGCCGCCCCGCCTCGCATGCTCCTTAAGACCGCCATCCCGGTCCCGTTCCGGCCGGTCCCAACCTAGGCCACCTTGCCGGAGCCCCTGCATCATGCCATTGTTCCCCTGCTTCACCCGCTGCTGCCTTCTTCGTCCACAGACGCACGCGCCCGCATTGATTCGAGCGAGTCCAGCGAGCCAGCGCCCAGCCGCCGCAAGCGACGACAGCGCCAAGTCCCGCTCGCCCGCCCATTTACTCCGTCAACCCGTTCCTGGGCCACGAGGGCGCCGAGGCCCAGCAGCGTCTTCTCGTCGCCAGATCCGGCCCAGCCGCTTCTCCGCTTTCGGCCCAATGGCCCGATGTGAGCATAGCCCAGCACCTCCACTATATTGTGCTTATGCGTCTGATAGTTATGTTGCGCCTGTTGCCTTGCTGGGCCTCTCCTTAGATTTGGCCCGTATAGTGTTTTTTTCTCCTGTTGTGAATTTGCCTATTATCCAGTGAACTGTTGTTTTACAGAAAAAACCCTCATTATTCATGCATATAATAACTCATTAACCGTGCATCGGATTAAATGATTTAAATATGTAAAATGCTTAAAATTTCATCTAGCTTCACAATATGCTACTCTCATCCATGTTTAAAATGTTGTTTCCATTTAATTAGCATAAATGTCATGTTAAAATGGTTTATTTCATAACAAAATAACCATAGCTCCAAATTTAATAATCTTTATATGTGAATGGGATAGAAAAATGCATCGTTTAACATGGTGGCATTACTTTGCATGTTTAACAACTCTAAAATATGGTTTAGGGCAGAACAATACCAAATCTAAAATATGCATATGGGGATTTTTCGGAATTGTTGTTTGTTGTTTCCGGCCTCATTTAAACTTGCCTAGATAGGTAGTTTTATTATGCTTCACCCCTTGCCATGTTTAATAACATTTAATATTGTTAGGTACATAAACGAGAGCAAACTAAATAATTCGAATGTGGTGTTTCATCAATACGCAACTCGTTGCATATTGAGCTCCACTTAACTTGTAGTATTGTTTGTTGCACTTTGCCATGCCATGCGCAGTGGTAAAGCTGCTGCCTTGTGACCATGAGGTCATGGGTTCAAGTCCTGGAAACAGCCTCTTACAGAAATGTAGGGAAAGGCTGCGTACTATAGACCCAAAGTGGTCGGACCCTTCCCTGGACCCTGCGCAAGCGGGAGCTACATGCACCAGGTTGCCCTTTTTACTTTGCCATGCCATGCCCCATTAAACCGGACATGCATCATACTTGATTATGCATCATGCCATGATTATGCTTGTTGGTTTACCATGTTGTTTGCTTCTTTTCGATGTTGCTTCTTCTTAATAGTTCCGGTATCGTTGTGATGGTGAGGATTCGTTCGACTATGTTGGTCCACCTACCTAGCAATCGGCGGTGCCGCCTTGGGGCAACTCGATGGTATTTTGGCTACCGTCCACTTAGCATAGACGGTGTTGTCCTGAGAACGAGATACGCGCGGCTCCTATCAGGGTATCGACGCACCGGGTGGTCTTGCTGGTTTTGTTTTACCATTGTCGAAATGTCTTGTGCACCGGGATCCCGAGTTTGATCGGATGTCCCGCGATGGAGCATTGTCTCCGCGGATCGTGAGCTTGTCATGGGCTAAGTTGGGACACCCCTGCAGGGTTTAAACTTTCGAGAGCCATGTCCGCGGTTATGTGGCAGATGGGAATTTGTTAATATCCGGTTGTAGTGGACTTGAACTAAACTCAATTAAAATACACCTACCGCATGCGTAACCGTGACTGTCTCTTTTTGGATGCGTTCGAGAAGAGAACACGGTTGGGTTATGTTTGACCGTAAGTAGTTTAGGATCACTTCTTGATCATTACTAGTTTGCGACCGTTGTATAGTTTCTCATCTTATTCTTGTACTTGTAAGTTAGCCATCATACAATGCTTAGCCGCTTGTTGCAGTCTCACCACTTATCCATTCCCTATCCATTAAGCTTTGCTAGTCCTGATACCCATGATGATGGGATTGTTGACTCATCGTGGCTCACAGATTACTACAACAACAGTTACAGGTACAGGTAAGCGATAGTCTGACGTGAGAGTGATGCTTGCTTGTGTTGGAGTTCTTCTACTTCTTCAATCAAGGGAAAGGTTCCGGGTCGGGGAGCCTAGGGTTAGCAGGGTGGATGTCATTCTTCTTTTTCGTTTGATTTCATCCGTAGTCGGATCCTGCTCTTCTGTAT